TATAGTTGGACTGATAAATCACACACCTATGGAAAAGTTAATAAATTATCTGTTTGATAGATTTATTTATCTGTTTAAAAATAACTGTTTGGGCTATCGGTGGAGGATAGCCATAATTGTTGTAGAGAATGCATGATGATTAGGTAAATTGAAACTAATCAATTGAATTATGTCATTGAATATGACGGTTAGATATAAACATTGAATATGTGATTTAAATTGATCATTGTATATGATGACGTGTTAAATACATTGTATATGTATCTTGTTTGAGAGGAGATTTGGGATGTACTCCATTGTGTAGGAGGAGATAGGGGATGGACTCCATTGATAATTAAGTTGGCCGGAGTATCCAGGGTAAAAGTCTCGAAATCTTATATGTATTTGGGTGCCGGTTCCTTCGGACGTAGTTCCGTCAAATGGCAAGTGAATAGAAGTGTATGAATGATGTTCATGATTGAAGTGTTGATAATGTGAGTTGTAGTCTCATTTTGAAATGTTTAGATATCAATGAATTGTTTTGAATAAATAAATGGAAGTGGATTGAAACATGGATGTAAATGTTGATTGGTTATGGAAAGGATGTAAGTTGGTTTACAAGTGTTAAACATTTGACAGATGCTAATGTTTTAGTTAATTCTCATATACTGTTTAGCATATCTCTACTGGGCTTTGACTCACCCTACTTGGGACACCATTTTTCAGGTACAGGTGATATGCCACCTCCAAGATCTTAGCTTAGGAGGTTTTGGAGTTGAAGACTTCCTTTTGTTATTCGTTTTGATGATAAATGTATATTCAAGCCAACTCTTCTTTTGTTGCAACCAAGTTATCTCTTGGGAAACTGTGAGCCCGTAGGGCATTTATTTGTTTAATATCTTTTGTAAAGAATACTCTGATAAAAGTAATATGTAACATATCTATTATGTTTTATGGATTTTATGAATGGATGATTATGTCTTATTTTGAGGGCGTTACAAATTTAAAATTATCATAATTAGCTCATAATTTTTTGTATTAAAGAGCAATAAAGGTAACGTTAAAGTTATTTACATATTTATATATTTTACAAAAAAAATGCTTTTAAGAAGAGATATTATGAGAGTTTTAAAACCTCATACAAAATCTACATACTATTATAATTGCAAAATGTTGTTATCTTATTAAAACTGAAAGTTGCAATTCTTTTTTTTATTTTATGTTTTTGATCTTGTTTAATCTTTGTTAATATGTGACACAATATGATTGGTCTATAAAATAATTTTATATTCTTAAAATAAAATTTAAAATTTAGATTATTCCTTAAATTATATTACCAAAATAAGATTAGTATTTTCCTTAATTTACGTATTTTTTATTAAATTATAAAATAAAATTTTAAATTTAAATTCTTTTAAAAATTATGTTACTATGATTAAAATGAGATCAATATTCACATGTGTTATAACGATGTGTTATAATATTATTGGTCTAAATATAATATTATTAAATATATGTATTCAAATTATTAATCATTATTAAAAGTTTATATTTTTATTTTCATCATTTTTTGTTTTAAATTTTATAATTTTTTTTATATCCTTTTAAATTACAATGACTTAAACAATAAACTTTTTTAATACAAACATTTTTTTTTAACAAAAGACAAAATAAATAAATAGCTTTTTTAACAATTGCCAAACATAATGCATTCTGATAATTTTTTTTTATTTTTATTTTTTTTAATCTCAATTGCCAATTAAACAAATTAAAATAGAATTTTTAGGAATGGAGTTAGGAGATGGAAAAATCAGGCTACAACCCTACGTAGTTAAGAAAATTTTAGATTATCCAGACAAATTAGAAGATAAAAAACAACTTCAATCATTTTTAGGGATTTTATAACCTTAGTAGAATAATAGGACCCGTATATAGCAAGACCACACCCACATGACAAAAATATTTTAACCAACATGATATAACTTTAGTAAGAAAAATTAAAGACATTCGTAGAAATTTGCTTGATCTACAACTTCCCTTAGAATCAAAATATAGTTGTAGAAACAGATGCAAGCCAATTAGGATGGGGAACAGTATTATTAGCTAAACCTAGTAAGTATGTTAGTAAAAATAAAGAGCGCATTTGTAGATATAATTTTGAAAAATTTAAAGAAAAAGATACAACCATGACCAGCTTAGATTTTGAAATATTAGGAATAGTATATACAATAAACAAATTTAGACTATTTTTACACAAGCCTTTTACAATTAGAACAGACTGTGAAGTTATAGTTAGATTTCATAATAACCTTAATGAGCGTAAACTTAGGGTTGGTTTGAGATGTTTTAAAAAAGTGCACTTTTTGACTTATTGGTTTATATGGGTTGGATTTGGGTTGGGTTTGATGTGATGTGTTAGAGAGGTGATGTGATTTAAATAAGATGATGTGACTTAAATAGGATAATGACTTTTTGACTTTTTGTATTATTTAGGTTATGCCAAACTTGGCCTTAGTAGTAGAAGATGGGCAAAAATTTTAGATTGTATAGTAGGACAAGGATATAAAGTAGAATTTGAACATATTAAAAGGAGTGATAATAAATTAACAGATTGGCTAAGTAGGAAAATTTATTTAGAAAAAGAAAATAACCAGTTTAATTTTTGTGCAAATAATGAAAAACAACAAAATAATGAACTTTGGGGGATTTGCTCTTTCCATTTATGAAGCTAGAAACAAATTCAAACCATTAACAGGAATCGAGCTAGACCCAGTTCAACAGTGTCTTTTAGACAACTTTTTGAACAATCTCAATCACCCAGCTAAACGTTTGTCAACCTTAAACTCTCTCAGTATATATTTTTCAAAAATTCAGAATAAACCTCTATCTAAAAGCTTTTCTTTCTATGTAGTAACTAAAGGAACCAAGCCCGGTATTTATCATGACTGGATAGAAGTTGAACCTTTAGTTAAAATTTTTTCCATACCTCAGTTTAAAGGATTTTATGATTTCGAGTCAGCCAGTACCTATGCCTGCAGACAGATAGGAACCATTACTTTATCAGCCAAATAGCTAAAGATTATCTGGGCACATTGAGCAAGATGCAATCAACTATTCTTGCTACTAGTGAAGTTCCAGTTAGCCAGATAATAGGAAGCAGTAGTACTAACCCTCAGCTAGATTCTCAAAATCCCCTCCAAATGTGCAGACATTGTGAAGGCCTTACCAGAAATTTCAATAAAATTATGGATAAAAGCAAAAAGGTTAGTGAAGAGCTAGACTAGCTTCGAGACGAAGAAAAACAATTGAGAGCAATCATTCACGCCCTAACTAGCCAGCTTAAAAAACTAACTCCAGAAAAAGCGTCCACTCCCTTTTCTAACCTAGAAATCAGACAGCTTACCAATGAGGAATTTGAACAATTGAGTGTTAGAATGTATTTCTTCAGGCATTCTATCATTCAATCTTTTTGTGAGAAAAACCGATAAATAGAATATCTTAAACCCTATATACATACCTTAGCCGAAGATAGCAGAAATAATGAATTAGTCACTATACAGCAATTTCTTCATGACCTCTTCATAACAGGAGTTCAGTGCCCTGGTATGGCGTATCAGTGGACTTATCTCTACGAGGACGAAGAACAACCTTATTTACAAGAAGAAAGATGTATAGATAGGCCAGAATATTTTGATAGATGTCAGTGTAATCTAGATTTCAGCATCTGTCTTTGCCAGATAAATCTAGCAACTTTTGAGCCACTGGAAATAGAAATTGAAGGCAAAACTTGTCATCTAACAGCTATCTAATTGTTAGATTATGACTTTGTTTCTAGAATAATTTTTTCAGATCCAGATTAGACAGATAATTTTGGAAATAAACTTGCTCATTCAGTACTTTGTGTAATGGAAGAGCATCATCCGTTTGTAGAAGTATTGATTGATAGCAAGCTACCAGAATGGAAAGAAATAAGGTGCATTCCAACTAAACATAAAAATGTACCTTAGAGGAACTTCGACATTTCCAAGATACCCAGGACTTCTCAATCGGAGACCCTGACCATGCAGAAATTTTCATTTAGAGATCAGCTTAATAAATGAAGGAAATTTGCTAATAGTACTCTATTAGCATATAATGGAAGCTATGGTAGTTTCGTCTGTGAAGATAGAAATCAGAAGATATACAGCAATTTAGCCATTCCAGGTTTTCCCTTCAGCAAAGAAACATTTGTAGATGAAAGCCGGTATCCCAACTATTAGCATAGTGTCTCTCATGATTCATCAGTAATAGGAGAAGAAAATAACAAATGAGAAAATGAACCAGATAATAGAGATGATTTTTACGATTAACTTTCAGCAACAGATTTTGAAAATCTTTCAGATAGATTGTACGGGTGAAAAAAAAAAAAAAAAAAAAAACATAACAGTGCACTCCATAATTAGAGGTTGGTGGGTTAACTCAGGTATTAATTAGTGTTTGAAATTTTAAAATGGATTAAGTTTTTATAATAATAATAAAAAAATAGTAAACAAATTTTTGTTATTAATTTCTTTAAAAAAATGTTGATTTTTTTTTTATATATAAAAAGTTAACAACAATTTCCAAATTTTAATAATGAAAAATAAAAAATTATACACTAAAGTAGAAAAGAGTAGCACACATTACATATTGGAGAAAAATAATTAAGTTGCGTGAAAAGAATGATAATTTTTTTTTAAAAAAATATTAGAAATTTTAAAAATTTTATTAATATTTTTATTAAAGGTCTCATGACTATACCTACATGAGAAAAATTTTATGTTAGGAAGAAGGAAAGTCGGTTACGTTAGAAAACGTTATGAACAAACGACGTCGGTCTACGAACCTATAAAAGCGGAACGCTGGGTTAGTTTGTTGGTTCTCTCTTCATGTCGGGAAACCCTAATTGATCTTCATTCCGATTGGAAAAACGGTGCGAATTTTTGGTTCATCGATTTGTCGATTCGTATTTCAGATTATAGGAACTATCGTTTGCTATTCGATTCAATTGTGTATATATATATATATATATCTTCTAAAGTAAAACACCTTTCTATATCTGAATTTATTTCAGGAGATGTATGCAATTTTTCGAATCGTCACAGAAGTTGAACTTTTTTTTTTTAATCTGTTTTTCCTTTTCTTTAATGGCAAACAATTATATTTGTATTGGGTGAGTGTCAATGGACTCATCTATGTGAGCCCTAAGAAGCCAATCAATGTTTGAGGAGGCATGGTGGCATAGAAGGGTTTGATCAGGGTTTAGGATGGTGCAAGAATTGAAATTTTTGAGTGTCTTCTAGTGAGTAATCTTACTAATTATTATGCATAGAGGTATTGAGATAACAACCAAACACTAGTGCACTTACAATCTGCAAGTTTGAATGGCAATCTGTTATTTGGGTCCCAACAATTCAAAGTGCCAAGAACTTTAGTTTGGTACACTTTCAATATTGAACATTACACTTTTGTGATCTCCATGTTTTTACAGAAAAGATATTGAACCAAAACCTTTTTTACCCCCATAATGTTTCGAATGAGTAGGGCAACTGATGTAACATGTAAGGGATGAACAGATTGGAATTAAGTTTTATTTCGGTTCATTGTTTTTTCTATTAAAAAAAATGTGCAATTTATAAGATAATAATAATGTTCAGCCTATACTATATTGGTAATTAATTCTTGTCTATAGAACTACCTTATGACACGTAAATTTCTCATCAAGCTGTATGTGCAAGCTATACAAGCGCCACCCTCATTTTATGCCTTTTCAGTTCTTGAAGTACGCAGATATGAGCTTTGGAATCTTGCATTTTATATGATTGGCTGTTTATATGTTGTTGGTAACATTCCATCCTTATTCATGCACTGAATTTCCAGTAGCATATGAATGACCTTTTTTTTTTTTTTTTTTTTTTTTCAACTGAACTAGAAGTTATAGCTTGTATAATGTTTCTTCCCCATGTACACTTTTAGGTACTCAACATCAGGAGCTCAACTCTTTTGGTATTATTGGTCAACTAATATAGGAAAAATCTATTTGGACCTCTGAGATCTCTATGTCACCAGAATGTTTTTTAAATGATGTTGCATGCATCTTAGTTTTCTATGGCACTAAAAACTTTTTTAATTGATGTTGAAGGATTATTACCATGGATTTAAATGCATCTCTTCCATCTGAAGAATATGAAAGGATACATAAAGAGCACATAGAAAAGCAGTCTGCAGGAAGGAAGCTTGGCCTGGCTGCAACTGAAACCTTGCACCAAGTATTATTCTGTCTTTCTTTCTAGTTTACCCGTTTCTTTTTTTGATTAGAAAAAACAAATAGTATTAGGTTCAATGGTATTCTTTTGAAGGAAGGAAAAAAAAAAGAAAAAAAAAAAAGAAAACAGTTGTTTCAGTAGTCTAGATATGATGGCAACCACATCCAGTCCTTATAAATGTTTACGCTTGCCTCATAAATTAGCAAGGACTTGAAATTGGATTTTTTTTTTTATATGGTTCCATCAATAGGGAAAGTATCCAGTGTGTCAATGTAACACAATACACCTGACGTTGGATATTTTTTAGTGTCATCAATTCCTTCTCCTCCAAATAATGTAAATGTTAGCACTACTGAGTGTGGGGTTGGTGATAAACCCCTTATTATTCAGTACCTTTCCAACCTGAGTTTGGGTGGTGCACTCACCCTCTGCTTAAAAAATCTTCCATGGTTAGGTGATTGCCATGATATGATGTTGGAGGGTTAATTTAGGTGATTGTTAACCTTTTGTTCATCCTAATGCATTTGCTCATGAAGGTTTACTTAACATGATGTTCAAGGGTGTGGCTTGAAGATGAGCACATTAGTGGGTCATTATTGTTGCATGCTTTTGCATACAGATGAAGTTGGATACTGTACAATATTCTCGTTTTCTATTCATAATTTCTTCTTTTTTTTTTTTTTCATTGTTGGTGTTTTATTACTGATTTTGTGATTCATGCATCAGGAAAGAGAAGAAAGACATCGAAGGTTGAAAAGAGAATTCCCAGACAAGGGACCAATGCATGTTGTCCAGTCATCGACTCGTAACTCCGGATTTCAGATGAGAAACCATAGAGCTTTTGACCAGAACAGTCTTCCTCCTGGTAAGCTATGAAGGTTATTGATTTGTTTATAAATATTAAAAATATCCATATTTCTCTAGCTTAACAAATATTTAGTGCTTGTATGTCACTCAACTGTGGTATTTAATTATTAAACAGTATATGAGTGTCTTTTGAATAATATTCATCTTACTTTTCAAAATCTTGAGTTTGGTTTTTTGTTTTTAAATTGATCAGTCTTGTCATATAACATAACTATTAGGATTTCATGCTTAGCCACTTTTCCCCTTCGTTTACTTTGGTTGTACCAGAGGATAAGAAGAGTGACTAATGGGTATAATATAAGTTCACTGTTCTAACAAAATGCAGTGTTGAAATTTACCCTTTAAATGTTTATTGTAGAAGATTGATGTTCTGACATGAAACTGAAATTGATCAAGTCATATTCCAGTAGAAGGTAGAAGCAATACAAGTGTGATTTTATGCCTAAGTAGGGTTTTTAAATCCTTGATAGTCTATATTTGATATTTAATACAGATGTCCTTTACCCATCACTACAAGAAGTTGGGGTGTGTTGGGGAGCTATATCTTTTCACATTTCATTGTTATGTCTTTTCTTTTATACATTTTTATCATGTGTTTTGGTTTTTTCATGAAAAAAAAGGCATCTGAATTAGTTATTTATTGAGAAAAGCATATTATTTACTGTTGCAAACAATTTATATCAGCTAGACAAATAGGTGAACTGGTTGAAATTGCAAATTCAAGTTTCATGTGCGAATTGAAGCTGCACTAACCCTTGTATCCAATACCGGGTTTTGAACTGGATGACATGTGGGAATTGCTTTGGTAGTGTCTGGATGCTTGGTGAAGATCTGTGGTATTCTTTGTTCTTTTATTATTATGATTTGTAAATATTTGAAGAGAATAATTAAGTATTCTGTATTGTAAAAAATAATGTGCTATTCTTGTAGAATTAATATTTACTTAAATTTATTATTTGGTCAGAACTCTTCCGGTGTTCGGCATTATATGAGTCTTTTCAAATTTTCATGCTTTAATAGTGTTGTGGTTTCTATCTTTCTAAAGATTTAGGGTATTGAAACTTTATATTTTGGATTAAAATGTGATTTTTTTTTTTATTTTTATAGCAAAGTCAGATATTGTTTATTTTTGCATTATCCTCACACTGCAGGTTGGTTGGATTGCCCCGCATATGGTAATGAAATAGGTGGTATCATTCCTTCAAAAGTTCCTCTTGGTGAATCCTTCAATGAGTACATCCATCCTGAAAAAAGATACTCTTCGAGGCAAGTCATTCATCAGCAAAGACAGTTGGGAAGAGAAGTAAGTATAGATCTTATGGAGTTCTTCAAGTATGATGTATCCTCCTTTGGACTCCCTTTTTTTTTTTTAGTGTGTGCTCGCGCGCCCTCTCCCCTCTGTATTGCAATGGTGCTGTATTGACCCTTGAAATTTAAGATGTCACTTAAGTTGCTAATATCTTTACTGTTATTTTGGCCGATCAGCATATATTTGCCCATTGAATTTTTTTGTTTGTTTGCATCAATGTTCTTCAAGAGGGGCCTGCCTAGTGCTTTGGTTTGGAGGGGGATATTGATGACCCTTTTATGGAAGAGGCCAGATAATTTTTTGGACTCTTTGGAAGTCGTGATCTCCTTGTAACATCAGGGGAATATGCAGTGATGAGCTTACATGGTCTTATGAATTGATGCCACTCCACTCCTCCTTGTTAGCCTATATGACACTTCTTAAGTCATAATATTAGTTATAGAGGGAATAGCCACTTATGACCCACTTGTTCTTTAATTTCTTCTTATTTTTCTTCTTTTTTGGCGAAGTATAACTTAGATATACCAGGTCAATGAGTTTGTTACATGCTCGAGTGGACGATGAGCAATATGGTTGGTTAGTTTATGCATCACAAATGAGTGTGTTTCCTTGAATAGTTTCTGATATTGTATTAATGACAGTTGATTTCACATTCCTTGCATATGATTTGGTACTTGAGCTTTGTTTAGTTTTGGCTTACTTTTAAAGTGTCATAAATTATTTGGAGAGAGTTTCACGGAATCTTGTTTTATTATTCTTATTATTATTATTATTCAAACAACAACAACAACACCCAATTAGTACACATTAATGTGTGCTTGAGAGGGGAAAGATTGGGTACACACCTGACCTTTGGCATAGTGTATAAAGTGATTGCCCCAAGACTTGAACCCATAACCTCTAGGTTATTAGGCCAAGGTTTTACCATTGAACCAATGGTCACCCCTTATTATTATTATATAATTTTAGAGAGATGTGCCATTGAACCTCGTCCACCACCACGCCTATCAACATTCCCAACATAATCCTCACCCTTAGTTGGTTCTGGAATCCATCCTGTCGAGCATCCTTGTTTGCAGGATCAGCTGCTTGCCAATTCGAAGATCTTCTATTGTATCCACCCCTGCCTTGACCACATCCATCACGCCTATCACACTTCTCAACCTCACCCTCAGCCGGTTTTAGGAACACATTAATGCTCATTGACTTGTGAACTTTGTCATCCTTCTTTTTAAGCTTGTCCTTCTTAGAGTCCTGTTTGCTGTCTTCTGCCTTTTTCCCAACTACCTGCATCGATTCAAAATCCTTGACAAGGGTGACCTTCCTTTCCTCTGTCTTTAAAGCTTCCAAAGCTTTCCTCTTTTCAAGGAGCACCTTCTGATATTGTTCAAGAGTCATTTTCTTTACTTCTTCCCTTTTCTCTTCCTCCCAGGCCTTCCTTTTAGCTTCCTTTTCCAATGCCCCTTGGGTCCTCCTCCTAGCTTCTTTCGCCTCTTCATCTTCAGCCTTGTTCCCAGAGGAATCATGAGCAGCATCTTGAAAAGCATCTTTTGATACTTCAGTAGTTTCCTACGATCACACTATCATCATCACCTTCATTACTGCTAAGTGCCTCCTTAGCCCCAAAGGTATTCATCACCTCATAATTATTTCCATTGTGGACACCAAAGAAGCTATCCCCCCGAGTTTTGTATCCTCCACCACCACCATCATTATCTTTTCTCTCACCACCATAACTTGAACGGTCCTCAGTCACATGTTCCTAACTGTCACCAGTACCCCCTCCCTGATCCTTATTTTTAAGTTGCTGATTGCCCTTAACAAATTGGCTCTCTTTCTCAAACCCATTATCTTCATTCAGTGCCCTTCCTTGACCAAAGCCTCTTCCTCTAGCACCTCCATGTCTACGCCCACGTGCACGCGCACCATTATGAACCCATCCCTGCCAATTGCCATCATCCTTGTTCCCAGCAGTATCCCCACCATAACTCCCTTGATAACCATCAGTATTTCCAAAGCTTTGTTGATACCCAACGTCCCCTCCACGATTCCTTCTAGGACCATCAAACCCTCTATTGTACCTCCCATAACCATCAGTTCCACCACTATTCTGTTTATAACCATTGGCTCCTCGGTTATTTGGTTGATAACTATTTGCATAGCCCTCCTTCTCAAACTGCTGCACATCATTCTGACTAGACCTCCCTGAACCATGACCTTGGCCTCATGTTCCTCCCCGGCTTTCAGTTCTCATAGATTGAGGAGGAGGAAGAGGTTTTGACGGAGGAGAGTGAGAGTGGTGGCTCCGTTCATTCTTCTTCTTCTTTTCCGCAGTGGCGGAAGAAGCCTCGGCCTTCAAGGCTACGTGGGTGAGAAAGGTCGAGATATCGTCCCCTTCGTCATTGCCCAAGAGAGCGAAAGAGTTGTCATCGCAAGCCATTGAAAGCCAAAAACAAAAAGACGATGACAAACAGAGAAAGAAATATTGCGATCAAGAACACGACCACATCGAAAACCCAACTCTAAACCCTAACCTAGAAGAAAGAATCATCAAACCCTCCATTCTCAAGTTCGCATTACGACTCTCTCTCTCTCTTTAAAAATTGCAAGTAGAGCTGTGTGTGTTTAGAGAGATTAATTTATAAATCCTATTTAGAGAACTTATAGCCAAAAAAGTCCACAAAGTATTTTTGTGTTCCACTTAGTCCCATACATTTGAAATTATATTCCAATAGGTCCTTTCTCCCATATTAGAAGTATTATATGGACTATTTTACCCTTATAAACTTCTATTATAATATATATATATATATATATATATTTATACCATATATCTAGGAGAGAGAAAATTATTATTACATATATTTCATTTATGATATATATATATATATAATATTGTGTATAAATATAGAAGATTATTATTTTTAGTATTTTCTTTGCCTCAATGCGAGGGATTCACTTGATCAAAGATTTTCCTTCACCATTATTTTACAATAAGATCTTGTCATGGAAGAACATTTGGAAGATAAGGTTAGTTATACATGTAGACCAATGATAGAGATGATGATGGACTCACAACAGAGATGATGGCAAACCAGTGATGAACAATCATTTTTTAGCCATTGTTATACATAAACTGTAGTTCCATTGTCGGTTTGTGTAGTCACCGATGTTGTGTAGTTTATTCGCCGGTGTTATGTTGGAGTTGATTATATACAGATTTTTCTAAAAAGGTGCGTCTATATATATAAATTATTTGATGATTTTTTTGTATATTGTTATACAAAATTATTTGCTGATTTGTTGTATATTGATTGTTACTATGCTTTTTGGTTAGACAATCATCTTTATTGCCATTGAACAATCAAAATAATCGATTTTCACTTTTTTTAATTTTGTTTCGTATTTTCACGTTGCAATGTGAATGTTCACATTGGTATGAGTTTAGTTTTTTTTAAGGCTAATTGTATGTTAATTGTAAACTGTGAACATTCATGTTATATTTTGGTATGAATTTTGTTTTTTTGAAGGTTAGTTGTATATTTGTTTGTTGTTTTTGTTACTATGCTTGTTGGTTGAACAATCATTTTTGTTACCACTGAACAATTGAAATAGTCGATTTTTACTTTTTTCAATTTTATTTTATATTTTCACGTTGCAATGTGAATGTTTATATTAGTATGAGCGTAATTTTTAAGCGTAATTGTATGTTAATTGTAAATTGTAAACATTCATATTGTATTTTGATATGAGTTTTATTTTTTTGAAGGTTAGTGGTATGTTTGTTGTTTATTGTGAACATTCGCATAGTACATTGATAGGTGTTTTATTTTTTCGAAGGTTAGTTATATATTAGCAGTCATACCAGCACAAACATCATGTGTATATAGAGATGTGAATGTTTACATTAATTCTGTAATACAAATAGGTAGTCACACCCAATATTAATGTTCATACACTCATGTAACATTGAGAGTATGTATGGTTCCACGAGGAGATGTTTATTTATCAGCATACATTTGTAATGTGAAAGTTCACATCAACATGAGAGGTTTTCAAAAGGTAGATGATTTAGGATTTTAAGAATGTGAGATTTTATTTTGTGGAACGAGGGAGAGATTTTTTCCCCTAGAATGAGGGAGAGTTTTTCTCTATGGAATAAAGAAGAGATTTTCTCCCTGGAATGAGGAGATTTTCCCTAGAATGATGAGAGATTCTCTCCATAAAATAATGGAGAGATTTTTTCAATAGAATAAGGAATTGTTATTATTTTTTATTATTAATTTCAAAATAGAAATAGGTGCAGAAAGCTAGAAGGGTGATTTGGTCATATTACACCAAATAAGACCTAATGGAATAATAAAAAGAATATGGGTTAAATGGAACACAAGTCATAAAGAATAGGATTTATTAAAAAAGCTCCCATAATTTTAATTCAATTTGTCCTTTTGGGAAGTTTCGTAAAGATGTAAGGTTAAGGGTCATCTTTAGAAGGAATGGTTTTGTAGGTGTAGACTACCATTCCAAGTCTTTCAAAGTATTTGAGATGTGTGGTAGACCCCATTTGGGTTTGTTTCTAGAGGGTGCTTCTGTTTAAGCAGAAGGTCTGAATGGGGCATTTGCTTAGGGTGCTTCCACTAATTTTAAGTGCCAAGCTAGTTTTTTTTTTTCTTTTTTTTTTTTTGGAGAAGTGCCTCAAGGTTCTTCTTAGCTTCACGGTTATTTGGGCCCCTCTCATACTTGCATTAAATTATACCTACTTTCAAACTTTGCTCTACTGAAAGTGATAACTCAATACATGTCCCTATTTTAGCAATGTTTGAATAACCTTTGTAAGACATATTCACAATCACAACTTATTTTTTTCATCGCGTAATTTTCCAGCACCTTTTAATAAAGCATCCTCAAATAAGTTTGGCAAGCCCAAATGGGTTCATCATCTTATACCCATTATGCTCAGGGATAAGCCTCTTGGGAGGTAAACATATTGATATGAAGAGGGGATGAATTAAAACATACACATGCATGTATTTTAAATAGAGTTTGTGCTCTGCCTGCATTATTAGCTAGTGGTTGGTGTTTTAGCATCTGTTTAAACTAGGTTTTCATTGATGAATTTTTGTTTAACTTTTTGCGATGAATAGTAACTAAAAATTTTCACTTCACTAATTTGTCAGCTGGGTTTGGTGATTGATCTTACGAACACAAGTCGTTACTATCCGGAATCAGACTGGATAGGAAAAGGTATTGAATATGTTAAGGTAAGAATGTGAATGGTTGTTTCTCATCATGCTTTTGGTGTGTAAATGGATTACAAAAATTCAATACCTGATCACTTGCTGTTTGACCCAGATCAAATGCCAGGGAAGGGATTCTGTACCTGATAATGCATCTGTAGATAAATTTGTATATGAGGTACAACCTTCCACTTAACTGTCTAAATCTCTCTCTCTCTCTCTCTCTCTCTCACATGTTAGATCCTCCGTGTGGCAGTATTTGTCTAAACCTGATAGAGAGACAACTTAAATGTTTTCTGTTGGCGCTGTGTCCTTATAATGAGATGGTTTGTCTATTGATCTAAGGAGGAATGGCAGTTTTCTTTTATTTGGAAATATTGGCGCCTCAAAACAGTTTTTTTTAAATATTATTTTATTTTTGTTACTGATACTTGTCGTATAATTTGTTTAGGTTTTGCAGTTTAGATCTCAACAGATGCACTTAAATAAGATTATTCTTGTCCACTGTACACATGGGCATAACCGCACAGGTTATATGATTGTTCATTTTCTTGTCCGTACGGAATCAATTTCTGTGACCGAGGTATGTAACTTGATTATCTTGTGACAAATATATATCGCACTGGGCTCTTTTGGCAGTGTCCTTAATTTTGCGTATTTGTTTCGCTTCATTTATCATTCAGGCGATTGAGAAATTTTCTAGAGCACGTCACCCAGGGATCTATAAAAGGGATTATATTGATGGACTCTACAGTTTTCATAATGAACAAAAGCCTGAATTTGTTGTTTGCCCCCAAACTCCAGAATGGAAGAGATCTTCTGATCTTGATATTAATCATAGAAGTGTGCCTGATCAGGATGATGATGGGGCTTCCATTTTGCATGTACGTGCTGTCTGTTTGAGTACAATCTTGTTACCAGTTACTAGTTCTGTTTTTCTATTTGACTGTCAACTGTTGACCATTCTCATGCAATATAATATTTATGGGACTGTAGGGTCAGGCACCTTTGTTACATAGAATTAAGGGTGTTGGCTGTGGTTATGTGTCTAATTGTTGTATTCTTTGAATCCCCATGTCTTAGGACACTTGTGCATGGCTCGTCTTTTATTTTAGGGTAAAATGGTGTTTACAAAGTAGCATAGAACATCTAATACATAGAGTTTAATGCATTGTTATATGGTAAACTCAATTTCTAACACTGCATAGCCTTGTCCTTGTAAGCGAGGTCACTTGATCATTTGCCTTCTGTTGCTCCTGATATGCAGATCATCTTTTGAATGGTTCATCTTTCTCCTTTCATTAAGCTCATAAACTATAATACTAGGTCCCTATCATTTCTTAAATTTCAAGGTTAATGCCTGTAAGATTGATTGATTTATTTTTGTTACTCATCATTTCTTTGAATACTGCAGGAGAATCTTGTGAGGAATGAAGTAATGACAAATGATGATGTTTTGGGGGATTCCATACCTTTTGAAAAACTACAGACAATGAGACAATTCTGCTACCAAGCATTAAAGTTGAATTTACGGGTAGGCACTTTTGAGGTCCTCTCGTATCTTTGTTTGTTTGTTTGTTTGTTTGGTTTTTTTTTTTTTTTCCCCTTCCTAATTCAAATTTACTTCTATTAGGTGTCAATTTTTGAGATTGATGGCTTGATCATTTTTATCACATCATTGTATTCATATTGGCAATTTTGATATGTAGCTTTCACTGCCCTCTGTAATTAGTCTTCTAGAATTTTTATATAGGTTCTGTTATTTTTCAACCTCTAAGGTACTGCCTCTCTATTTCATGCTAAATGTTTCATTTTATATTTACTCATTTAAGTTGTTTAAGGTTTTTACTAGTGTTTTCTTTTGTTTTATGGATGGCTTAACCCATGATGGTATACTACTGTTGTTTCTTATCACAAAAACAAAAAAACAAAAAATCTTGGTTTCATATCATGTATTGATATTTCTTCTTCTTCTTCTTCTTCTTCTTCTTCTTCTTCTTCTTCTTCTTCTTCTTCTTCTTTTTTAAACATTCAAAATTTTAACATATGCTTTTGTATTTCTCTCTCTCTCTCTCTCTCTCTCTCTCTAACTCAAATTTTACCTGAAAGTTGGAAATCTATTTGACGTTAATTTTATAATTTATATAGATATCTTTACCTCACAAATGTTTTTCAAATCTAAAGACATCATTGGTTTAGGTGTTTGCTTTTTGTACTTGATGTGCTTTTCATTTCTATTTTATCTGATACATTTGGGAAAATATCCCATTTTCTTGGTCTTCAGGCGAGAGGAAACACACAATTTCCAGGGTCACACCCTGTCTCTCTCAGCAGGTCCAATTTAGCCACACCCTTGTTAGTGATAATTATGTATTCAATGGCTCTGTTTTATTTTGTTGATTAAAATGATTAAAATCTCAAGTCTGTGCTCCATTCCCTCATGCATTAAGGTTGTTTCACAAGTTTTGAACAGGTAAATATTATGCATGATTTTTCTTTTTTTTTTCTTTTTTAATTTTCTACAGTATCCTTACTAAATTAGAAGAATGCACGAGAAGGGAAGATCAGAAATTCTTCTAAAAGGAAAATAGGCAAATGTAGCACTAATGATGTAGAATGGCATGTATAATCACCTGCAGTGAATGAACAAGCTTATGGGGGTGGGGGGTAAGAATGCACTTAGAAGTTGTTTGAAGGAATTATCTTTCTTGTCTTAGCTATAACTCTGCTATTGGATTACTCCTAATTGTAAAATTCACTAATGAGGATATTTCCAAAATTTCCTGAAGTATAGGTGAGGGTAAGGAAGTGTTTTAGATATAGGTTTCTGAGATGAGAGATCCTCTCAAATACCTGAAGGATCCCTCCGGTATTCTTGATGTTCTCTCCATATTTGGAGCAGTAGGATTATTATCAAGAAATGAAAAATGCCTTGTAAGTATAAGACAACAGTGCTTTTGCACATTTGTTTCCTAAAAGAAGAGGATTTACAAAATCACAAGACTGCTTCATATATTCATGGTCTTCAAATCACAAGAGCGCCTGAGATATTCGTGATCTTCTCAGTATTTAGGAAGGAATTTCTTATTGCCTTGATCTGTCTCATGAAGTTAGACTAAACTCAGCCTTTGCCAGCAAGGGCCTAAGACCTTTGCCATTGGAGCAAAAGTCGAAGTAGGTCCATTGGAGCAAAAGTCAAAGTAGGTGTGATTTCTTAAATGTTTCTATTATGTTTTGTTCTTTTAACAATTTCGAGCTGCCCTTTTTTGAATATTTTAAATTCCCTCCTTGATCCCCTTCATGTAGAATCTGTATTTGGTCTCGTCATTTTCTTGTTCACCAAAATTTTTTATCTTTGTGCCCCTTTTGGGGATTTCTTTCTAATGGGTTTTGTTTCCTCATCCAGTCCTATGATTTGTTGATGTTCCTAGATACAAGTTTTGCACAACTCCTCCAACATCTCTCAGACCCCCAACCCCAAAAAATAAATGAAGTAAGCTGCATGATCTCAAAATTCATTTCACCATTTTCAAATTCATACAAAGAAAAATCGCAGTTATGCCTCATACTCTCTAAGTAAATGAACAAGTTCTCACTTTATGGCATTAGACTCCATGATTATTAGTAAATGGTTAGAAGTTGCTCACAAGAAAGTTATGCTAAACAATAGTAGAAATGTAAAAGAAAAAAGAGAAATGTGCAGTTAACAACTTAGGACTGATTGATGCTGTATTAATTCGTGAAAGAAGATTTGCTTTATTAGTCAGTTAGAGTAAAAAAGGAGGAACAAATGTGTAATTGATGCTTTATGAATTTAGTAATTAATGAGGATTTTGAAATAATAAATTATGTTTGGTTGCCCAGAGGGTTGAAAACTTAACATAAGTTTGCTTTTGGAATCACATTATTCTTGTCCCAGGACATAATAATGATAATAATAATGATGATGTGGAAGGTAGTGTATTTTTGCTTTTACCTAGATGAGTTGGGGATTGTACCCTACTGAATTCTATTTTACCTTTATAGTATCTATTTTTGTCTCATTATTTTCAAAATTTTAAGTTTGCATACTAGTTTTTCAATTTTCAGGGACAATTTACAACTTTTAAGGCAGCGATATTACTATGCCACATGGAAAGCTGATGGAACACGATATATGATGCTAATTACTTGGGATGGGTGTTACGTGATTGATAGAAATTTTTGTTTCCGAAAGGTTGAGTTGCGGTTTCCTTGCAAAAGCACAAATAAGGTAATCATGCAATATGCCATATTCATATTCTCTATCCTAAGAATGTTTTTGGTTTCCAAATAAATCAATTAATTAATTAAATTAAAAAAATTGGTAGATGGCCTTTTTCATGTATGTTGTTTGTTGTCAGGGTATATTTGAGAAGACGCATCACTATACATTACTTGATGGAGAGATGGTAATTGACATTGAGCCAAAGACCCAAAAGCAGGAGAGAAGATACCTTATTTATGATCTGATAGCAATTAACCAAGTGTTTATTATGGAGGTTAGACATATCATATATGGTGGCTATACCAATTGAAAAGGCTATTCTACTTGTATAATGTAGTTTTACTCCCATATATTATTAAATTGCAAGTATCTGTTGATTACATGTTGATGTGGAGTTCTACTCCATGCTAGAACATAGGCATGTGGTCTGCAACAGGTGGATCCATCATTCCTTCTCAAAGAGTGGTTCAGTTAGTCTTTTTGACTTTTTTTTTTTGTTTTGTTTGTTTTTTCCCCTAAGTCTTTTCGTAAGAGCAGTTTTCACCTCACTGCTGCTTATCTTAGAATAGTTAGCCTTCTCTGAAATGTAAAAGTACGCATTGAATTTTTTAAACAATGTCAGGTGTCTACAGGCTATAAAGACTTAACAGTTGGTCCTTTAGTATTATTTCCCTGATAACTTCTCTCTAAACTCCGCAGAATCTCATAGTAGGTTAATGTGTGGTTGTATGTTCCTATTTTCTTTTTTCGTCTTTTTTCCCCCTCCTTTTCTTATTTGGTTCTAAATTGTCTGGTGGTGAATAATTTGGTCTTTGAACATCATTACAGCGACCATTCAGTGAACGGTGGACTATACTTGAAAATGAAGTGATCAAACCTCGAAACAGTGAGCGTGACTTTTTGTACAAGAGCAGAAATCCATACTACAGATACGACTTGGAGTCATTCAGGGTATGAAAGGGGGAACAAGAGATCATTAACTGCCCTCAATTCTATTTTCAATCATTGCATTCTTTTCTTTTATTGATTATTTATTTTGCTTTGTCAGGTGAGGAGGAAGGATTTTTATTTGCTGTCTACAGTTACTAAGCTTTTAAAGGAATTTATTCCAAGACTTTCACATGCAGCAGATGGTCTTATATTCCAGGTTCTTAAGGATTATTTTTTGGTAGCTTTATTAAAAAAATAAATCTGGAACTTTAAATATAATATGATACTGTTCAAACAATGTGATTTTTGCATTCTTTTACTTTTGAAATATCAGTTACGAACACGGGAATGTTCAGTGCATAGGAAATGTGTGTCAAGAAAAGTGATTTTGCACTATTTTATTTTGGAAATATTAATTACTATGCACAAGAACATATTCAGGTGATATTATGTGTTTGAAAATAGAAAAATGCTCCATACCCATCCCCCCCCAACCCAAAACCCAAAATGATGTGGCGAACAATAAAATGTTTTACTTTGGAAATTCCCAATTGCTTTGTCAAAAGAATATTGCAACATAGTCAGTTGATAGTATGTATTTGAAAAATGTGATTTTTTACATTATGTTACTTTGGAAATATTAGTTACTTTGTCGAAGGAACAGAGGAACAGTATCAATTCGTAATATATTTCTAGTTCAATGTTTTAAAAATGATTCCTTAAATCTTTTTGCTTATGATAGGATGCTCAAACTATATATGTTAAAGAAATATTTTCCTCAATGTTCTAAGGATTTGATGAAGATTTTGTGCCAGGCGTTAGACAAGAAAGAAAATTGTAATGGCACTTGTATATATATATATATATCAACTAGAGATAAAAATGGGAGAAAATTTGGTAATTTGTTTCAGCATTGTTCTAGAAGGCCAAGAATGCACCGGTGGAAAAGAGTGATGTGTCCCACCAAGGGAAATGCTATGGTGAGAGAGATTAAAACTAATGTGGGTTGAGGTAAAAAGGAAATTTATTGTATCAGTGTTTAGCATCGACTATTGCACTTGATAGGGTGGAATGACGAAATATGATTCATTCGGAAAAACTTGTTGATGTTGTTAGGGCCTCTCGGTGATATGATCGCCTCAATATCAGTTTAGTGTTTTTTCTTTTCTTTTTCTTTTTTGAAAAAAAACTATACTGACTATCAAATTAACTTGGAGATGAAGTTCCTGATTAAGTCTTTCATTTCAATTTTTTAAACCCTTCCCTGCTCCCCATAGATAAACAGTTATTGATTAATGGTTTGGTCACATTGATTACTGATGGTTTTATTCTCCCAGGGCTGGGATGACCCTTACGTGCCACGCACACATGAAGGCCTTTTAAAGTGGAAATATCCTGAAATGAACTCAGTTGATTTTCTCTATGAGTTTGTAAGATCGATTTTGTTCAGATGGAGCTCTTGTTCAATCTTTTTCCTTTTCAGACTTGTTTGCATTCACTTGCTACCATGACCATCTAAATGTAGAAGATATTTGTGTTGACAGGTCGCAGTTGATAACCGTCAACTACTTTTTTTGAATGAACGTGGAAAGAAAAAGCTAATGGAAGGAAACAGGGTTGTTTTTAAAGGTTTGGGGCCATCATTTTCTTGTTTGATATTTTCCATTTTTCAACAATATGAAAAAAAATATCCCTGCATCGTACCTGCATCTGGAAGGCCATCTGGCTAGCTTTTGTCAAATAACCTACTTTATTGCAACAATGTTTCTGTTTTCAATCTGGATGCTTTGTGTTTGCTATGAACTCTTGATCATGATTCTTCATACTCTGAATGAACGTGCAGATGCATCAGCTATCAGTTCCTATTCAGGGAAGATTATTGAGTGTTCTTGGGATGCCGAGGAAGGGGTTTGGGTCTGTATGCGGATCAGGCCAGATAAATCAACTCCAAATGAATTCAACACCTATAAGAAGGTCCACCTTACTATTTAAACTATTTTGTTCTCGTTTCCAGAAGCTTTTGTACTTGTTTTAGACAAATGAAGCTGCTTGATAAGTTGAAAACAGGTGATGCGGAGCATAAAGGATAATATCACAGAGGAAGTTTTGTTCAATGAGATTCGTGAAATTATTCGCCTGCCAATGTATGCAGACAGGATACAGAATGATTGCAGGGCTTTTACAAGTGCTGCAAGACGAAGATGATCAGTGAATGACACTTCTCAACCAATGGGTGCCATACAAAGAGGGTGTACTCATTGTGTGCCTAAATCAAATCCGAGGCATAGTTTTGGAAGGTCTATTATGAAGTTTGATCCAGTCAATACGTTCAAAACGATCTTTCGACACCAGTCTGGAACTCCATTGGCCCCTGGATTTAGGTTAAGAAGATGCAACACCTCGCTTTCCATGTATATTACCATTTTATTTTTTTTTCCTTGCTTGATTGTGGGGGTGAAAGTCAGGCAATTTTCAACCCAAGGCTCTTCTACTTCCAGTGTTCCATATTAGTTCTGCATCATTATCCCCATTTTGAGGCTCTCCTTGAAATTTGAATATCTGTCTTCTTACCCGAGTAAATTGTGTTTGAAGATGAACTAAAATGTAAGCTGTTGTAACATTGTTTAGTGAATGAGTTTCTGAAGTATTTCTTTAAAAGAAATATATCTATGGCCCCTGATTCTTCTTCATGTGATTTCTGTTTGTCTTTGTTTTATAATTTTGTTGTTGTTATTATATAAAGAAGAAGAAGAAGAAGAAGAAGAAGAAGAAGGCATGACAACTAAAACAATTGTTCGGACCATGCCAGAACTACATCCTTTTTCTGCAATTTTTATCAGAAGGGAGATAAACGATAGGAATTACAGTAACAGGAAAGCAGCACGCTCAACCTTGAAACCTGTTTGGTCCATCAGCTCTCCCTAGTCTATTTATATGCCACTCAGAACAATCACACTAGTAGTCTCCTCTCTCTCTCTCTCTCTGGGGGCGAAAGTTGTGGCAGTAAAGGGATCTTATTCTGTGGCGGCAAGAACTGTTGGTCCTGCCACCTGAAATTCAAATCCCGAAGTTCTGATGTCAGCAGAAAAATATGAAATTGGGTGGAATTAGCTCTGATTTTCCTTGATTGGACAAAACTTTAAAAAACACAATTTGGATCCAGAACCTAGAACTTCTGACACTGTAAACTTCAATTTTGTGCCATTCTGCTAGATTATCATAGTTTCACCTTGAACGTTGCACCCCACATCTCTTCCTCTGCCGCAGGAACAGCTGTGATCTTGTTCTTCGGATTTTCATAGCTTTGTAGCTCTCCCACTGCTGTTGAGTAGAAGCATCCTGCAACCAATTCACGAGTTCAAATTGTGGAAATAGTCTCTTTGCGTGGGTACCTCGACCGGGAGATTAACTATTAATTAGAAACGAAGTGTAATAATTGAAAATAGTCACCCTGAGGGAACGAAGCGAGCGACTTGCCACACGCTCCCTTAAGCAGTTCGGCATCATCAGCAAATGCCAAGAATCCATCAGCAGTGATACCCCAGTACAAAGGAACCTTGCCTGATTCATCCTGTTAGAAGAAATTCCATGAACATATAATGAATTACTAGTATCCATTTATTATTGTGTATTTTTCGATGTTAGAAGAACCACTTACGGAGGCGACAAAGATTGTGAACATGGACTTGTCGAACACAATGAATGCAAAGTTGCCAACGAGGTGTCCGACCACTTGGTTTAGAGGGAAAGGGGCTCGGTCACGAAGCGCTTTGTAAGCTTCTATCACTAAAACCACTTCATTTGCAGGCTTGGCTAGACCATACTCTCATCGCAGGCTCCCCAAGTTATCCAGCACTCCCTCGAACATGCAGAATATCTCATCCTTCACCCCAAATGTCCTGCACCCCCCAAAAAACAGAAATCAGAGTCTTTGTAAGACCCATCATGATGATTTTGTGTTTGTGTTTATTTATATTTATATCTCTGATCTTGTAGTAAAAAGGGAGTGAGGGACAAATGATTTATCTTTTTGACACACGTTTAAGTTAGTGTTTATTTGTACCATCTACCTTTCTAACTCTGGTCATGTGATCAAGAGGTGGTTTGGGATAAAAGAAAGTGAGACAGATGATTCGTGTCTTATTTTTAGTTTAAGGTGTACCTGGGAAGTAAGGGTGACTGGCTGTTGTCAGTGTAAGCTAGGTATACATCATTGCTGATCTGTACCGACACCCCGGAGTCATTGCACTGTAGGAACTGCTTCACTAGCGCTGTTGCGGTGGTCTTAGGCGACGGAGTCCGGCTGCCAGCAGCCACCAGCTCCTCAGGCAGGGACACAATGTTGCTGCTAAAGACTCCCAACATATTGCAACTTTTGAAGAGCTAACAATAGGGACAACATCCATTTATAAGAAGATTAAGGGTAAAATTGTCTTTTTGTATTGCATTTGAATTTTGATCTCATCAACTAACTCTTTGTTTAATAAATAATAATAAAATAGAAAATTATGTGCAACAAATGACAAAAATTTCATACTTTCACTATCTACATGACAAACTTACAAACTTCTATTGGAAAGAAATAGAGTAAACTTTCTTTGTGCAAATCCTTTTAGGAAAGCCAGTGAATTCTCACCAAAGCTAGATTTGATATGATTAATTTAAAAGACACCCATTTCATATAAGAAAATTTTATAATACACACCCATATGCTCGATGTTTGATTATATCTATTATGGTATTAGTTATGACTTAATTATAATATTTAATTATATTTATTATAGTGTTAGTTATGACTTAATTATAACATGTATAATATTGAAGATGATATTATTCTAATTATAATCGATTTTTTTATAATTATATTTATATGATGTTTAATTATAATTTATATATATTTTAATTATAATTTAAAGTAACATGATCTATATATATATATATATATATATATATGTATGAGAGAGAAAACGAATCCATTAACATGGGCAGGCTGGTTAGAACCTGCAACTCTTCCGGGAAGCGTGGAAGTGGACTATGTGCTTGTCCAAATGTCTGGAAATAATTTTGTTATTATTATTTTTTTTAATTTTATATTATTAAAAAGTGTTCCATTTTTATATATTAAAGCCACCAAAGTTCATCTTAGGATCAACGTACTCATTTATATTTATTATTATTATTATTTTCTCTTTTTGCTTTATATATCAATGATCAATCCTCATCATGGGCACAGGCCGTCGTTTGCAATTGTTGTTTCATCTAATGGGACTTCATTATCATGTAATAGCGGTTCACACATGTTATACATGTCTAATTTAGATAATAAGAATAAAAAATAATAATAATAAAATTAATATTATAATGTGTACTTAATTTAAGTAATCTTTTTATCCTAAATTCATAAACATGGTGTGTGGGTAATTTTCTGACCACACTGCCCGCCTAGTAATCAGCTGGAAAAGCACTGGTAGAATAGATGGCTTCAGCTAACCTGTAACAGAAAGAAAAAGTTCTGGCGGTGGCTCTTCTACCCGGGGGCACTCTGACGATTAAGTCAGTATATCTTTCAAAGATAATCAAGTGCTTACACTTACTACTCAAAGCATAAAACTGCGTACCTTAAACCCACGGGGGTGCCTCTCTTTTTATAGCCAACTCAATCTTAATCCCACTAGAAGCTTGACTTCTATGAATTCCTGTTCTGTACTTACTTTGGACTCCTCAAGAGATAAAGATAAACTCCCTAAGAGCTTTATCCTTATCTTGGTTAAGTCTTCTCTTTACTCTAGGACTCTTGTCCCTTATCCCTTATCCGCTTATCTCGGATTCCGATATCTTCGGAGATAACCTTGGCCTTACCGAGATAACCTCAACGTCATAACTCGGATACGTGGCACTTCGGCTGACACTTCAGTGACACCTCGGCCACATGTTGGTATTCAAAAAATACATCCCCACAACTGCCCCCTAAGTTTTATTACCTCGACATTCTGAGGTGATGGAACCTATATCTGTATTTTCTTCCAGTAAATCGGGTTAAAATTTTGACAGCCGAGATCATTCATTTCAGGCCGACATGCTTTTCCTAAAAAGTTAAGATTTTTAAGGAGCTTCTCACGCGCATGAGCTGTCATGCACTTCAACCCAACCGTTTTAGACATATGTTTCCCTCTTATTGGTTCGTACAGGTGACGCGCCCGTTAGCCGCCTCTTTCTTTATATGCGCCGTCTGACGCCTTCGTTCTTCTAGGCGTATTGATTGTTTTTGCCGCCGTTTCTATTTAATCAAAAAAAATTTCCCTTTTTTCCGTCTCTTCACTTTTTCATTCGAATCTCCTGCTCTCTCTCTCTAGCTTTCGAAATCCTCCATCGCTCAAGCTTCCAAAGCTCTGCAACCTCCTCCGTTCACCTCTTCCGGCGAGATTTTCACCGGTCTTCTGCTCCTGAAATCGTCGTAGGACATCGGCAAATCCCTTTCCGGCTTCCCTTTTTCTGGTAAGCTACTGTTCCTTTCGTTTTCAGTTCCTTGATGTTTCTTTTTCTTTTGCTGTCGCCATTACTGTATTGTTTCAAGCTTTTTTAATTTATAAATCGTACATCTGAACGCATTCATCCATGATTTTGCCTTTGCCCACATTTTGAACACACGCACTGTTTCACAACATCTTTACACTTTTGCCACTGTTCTTGGCCATATACTCTTGCATTCTTCATGTTCTTGATAGCCCATATCAATTCTTGTTTCTGAAACTTTGTTTTTGTTTTCTGTTTTTTGCATCTTTTCCAGATCTGTGCCTTTGATCTTCATCTTCATAGCTTTAGGTTTGGGATTTGTTTATAGAATCCACGATTTAGGGCAAAACTGAAACATTGCTTACAAATATCTGTACCAGCCTAAACCTAGGTTTTTGCCGAGGTCCCATCAATAAGAGACATCTTCCTTCTGAATGTCAACTCTTCTAATTTAGGCCGATATCATGGGTATGTAGAGACATAGGGTAGATACCCCGACCAAACTTGAGTACTTTAGGCAAGAGTTCTCCATCCCTGCCGATGTCCATCTGAGACTGGCTGGGGATGATGACTCCATCATGCCTACCGAAAACTCCATGCCCTTCCCTGTAGTTGCCTTTATAGAGTGTGGACTTCGGCTTCCATTAAACATTCTGTTTCGTGAGGTTCTCCATTACTATAAGTTGAACCCCATGCAACTGGCAATCAATTCTTATCGAGTGATCTTTGGTATTATGGCCTTAGCTAAACGGGAAAATGCTAGGATCACCCTTGCCGACATCCAATATTGCTATGCCATGTGTGGCCTTAACTTGAAAGAAAAAGGCTACATTTATTACCTTAAGCCGAGATCCATAGAATTCAAAATTGTAGCCGACCTCTCAGACTCCAACAAGGGAGCTGGTGATGATTATCTCATTACCTCGGGGAACTGGGAGTTCGCCCCAGATGAAGATCTCCATCTCTTCCCTCTCCCACGATCAATCTTTATAGAGGGTAATGGTAAGAGCCATGCATTCATACTTGTTTTACTTTTAAAGTCTTCTATATTTTATCTATTTCCTAATGTCCGCTTTGCCTTTACTTTTGCAGTTCTGCCTCAGCTGCAAAAAAACTTTCGCCAATCCTTTGTTCCCAGCAAGGACTTAAAGAAATTACTGGACCTGCCAGTTCAGAAGCGAAAGGCCCCTCTACTTCTCAACTTCATCCCAACATACAAATCAGCTCTCCCTGACGTCCCTAGGAAAAAGAAGAAGAAGAGCTTATCTCCACCTTCTGCCACTACCCCACAGGCTGCATCCACATCTCGGACAGATTAGGGGCCAACTTCTGACCCGACCGAGCAACCGTCTACTTCAGTTCCATACTTGGTTCCAATTTCACAGCGCCGCCGCCGACGTCGAACGGTTTCTACTGCCGAGATGGGTCGCGCAAAACCAGTTGCGAAAAATCTTTTGGCCAGCATTCCATCATCGGTTGATGATCAACCAGCACAAACCCTTCCTCCACCTAAGCCAAAAAGAATTAAGAAGGCCCAACCAAAGGCTAAAGTTACTCAGACTGAGTCTGAGGATGCTTTGCCTCTATCAAAGTTGGCTAAGAGCGACAAACCTCAACCCTCTGCTGGGAAGAGGCGTTCTGAAACACAGCCATCAGAGTCCTCAAAATCCAAAAAGCCGAGGTCCTCATCCGCGATGACTTCGGGGTCCAAACAGAGCGATATCCCTTGGACCCCTCAAATTACTCTAGAGGACAAGCCAGTCCTGACTACTGACAGTGCCGATGATATTAATGTCGGCGCAGCACTTAGTACCGCTCTGCTTCTGCCAGGGGACTTGGAGCGAAATGCTGGTTTTAGCGAGTATGAGAATTACGCCCTAATGCTTTAACACTCTGTTCAGGTAAATGTCTTCTAATTGGTGAATTTTTTCCTTTCTTTATTTCACACTTTGAATTTTCTTTAATACCTCTGTTTTCTTTTAGGCCATCCAACATGCCTATTCTTTTTCAATGCAGTCTTTTGAGAATCGGCAAAAGCTGGCCGACATGAAGAAGGAGTTCTCTTCTATTCAAAAGATCAATAAAGGCCTTGAATCAAAAATGAAGAAGCTGGAGGATCAGGCCGAAGCTGCAATTAAAGCTCAGAATAATGCTGAAGAGAAGGCTGAGACGACTGAGGCTATCAGAAAGGTAGCTGAATCTCAAAGGAGAGAGGCCGAGGAAAAAATGGCCCAAGCTGAGAAAAAGCTTCAGGAGGCCCTGGCCACCAAAGAAGCTGAAATCAAAGAAGCCGACGAAAAGGCATATTCACAGGGTATGACCGACGTCACTGAAGCCTATGAAAAACAGGTGAAGGAGGCATGCAATAAGGGTTTCACCCTTGGTTGGATGTCCCTTCTTAAAAAGTTTAATATTCCTGATGACTCTCCGTTGCGAAGGGTCGACGCCATTCCCTTGCCATTTCCTCCAGTCCCAACTCCTAGTGAAGATGTCGGCGAATCTGATGCTAAGGATGAGGCCGAGGAGGAAGAGGACGAGGCTTTGATAAGAAAGTCAAAAGATGCTGATGGGGCCAAGTCCCCTCCTCAGAACGAGCAAGTCCTAGACTTGACTCAGGATGAGGAAGGTGATGAGGTTATCCAAGAAGCTGTTCCCGACATTGTACCAGCTGACATCCCTTCTGAGGTCAAGACTGTTGAAGCAACTCTCCAAGAAATTGACACCGAGATAGCGGCAGAGAAGGAAGCCGAGGTGGTATCTGATATTCAATTTCAAAAATCTGGCGGAGAGGAGCCTTAGCTTTAAGTCTTCTTCTTATTTGTATTTTTTTTGTTTCTTTATCTTAGGGAACA